CCAGTTCACCCCAGTGCCTCCAGTTCACCCCCAGTGCCCCCAGTTCCCCCCAGTGCCCCCAGTTGACCCCAGTGTTCCCAGTTCGCTCTCAACGCGGGGCTGCGGTTTCTGACTCCTGAGGAAAAGTTCCTGGGCTGGGCCCCAGCGCCCTTTGACCTCCCGGCCTTCGACCCCGTGAGTGACCCCTGAGCCCACAAGTGACCCCTGAGCCTGTCCCCAATCCTGACCTTTGACCTTTGTCCCCAGCGTGTCCTGGACCCCGAAGCCCCCCCGGAACCCCCCGAGGCCGAGCTGGTGTCGGACAGGCCTGAGGTGCTGCTGACCGTCGGCTTCCCTGGGGGTGAGTGACCACTGATCTCTGACCCCTGCACTGACCACTGAGCCAGCGCTGGCTTCTGATCCCCAACAGCTGGAAAGAGAGGGAAAAGGGGTTAAAAACGGCAGGAGACGTGAGGGGGGAAAAGAGCAGGAAACATGAGGGGGAAAAAGAGCGGGAAACGTGAGGGGAGAAAAGAGCGGGAAATGTGAGGGGAGAAAAGAGCAGGAAAACGTGAGGGGAGAAAAGAGCGGGAAACGTGAGGGGAGAAAAGAGCGGGAAACGTGAGGGGAGAAAAGAGCGGGAAATGTGAGGGGAGAAAAGGGCGGGAAACGTGAGGGGGGAAAAGAGCGGGAAACGTGAGGGGAGAAAATGGTGGGGAACATGAGGGGAGAAAATGGTGGGAAACGTGAGGGGGGAAAAGAGCGGGAAACGTGAGGGGAAAAGGGGGAATGTGAGGGGAAAAGTGAGAAATGTGAGGGGAGAAAAGGGCGAGAAACATGAGGGGAGAAGAGGGTGGGAAACCTGAAGGGAAAAGGGTAGGAAATGTGAGGGGTAAAAGGGGGAATGTGAGGGGAAAAATGTGGGAAACGTGAGGAGGGAAAAAAGGGTTGAAAACTGGAAAATTGTAGGAAATGTGAGAGGAAAAAGGAAGATTTTTTTTTTCCCTTCAGCCGGCAAATCCACTTTCGTGAAGCGGCACCTGATTCCCGCAGGATATGAGTACGTGAACAGGGTGAGCTGCTGACCCCCGTGTGAGCTCCAGGGCGCTGTGGGCTGACGGCCACGCTGTGTCTGTGGCTGTTCGGGCAGCCTGGCCCAGAGCGAGCTCTGAGACACCCCCGGTAACCCCCAGGACACGCTGGGCTCGTGGCAGCGCTGCGTCTCCGCCTGCTCGGCTGCCCTGGCTCGGGGCCGCCCCGTTGTCGTCGACAACACCAACCCCGACCCCGAATCGCGGCAAAGGCCAGTCTGGGAACTGGGAGGGAACTGGGAGGGAACTGGGAGGGCACTGGGAACTGCTCCCCCCAGCCCTCAGGACCCCTTTTCTGGGGTTTTGAGCCCTACGTCCTTTGTTTTGGGGACCCCCTGACCCAGCCTGTGCCCCCAGGTTCGTGTCCTGTGCCCGGGAGGCCGCGGTGCCGTGTCGGTGCCTCCTGTTCACGGCCAGTCTGGAGCAGGCACGGCACAACTGCAGGGTGAGGAGGGGTCTGAGGGGGTCCTGACCCTCCTCCCGAGGGCTTGAGGGTGAGCCCTCAGCACCCCGTGAACCCCTTTCTTGGGATTTTTCACCCCAAAAAGTTCCGGGATATGACACAGAGCGGCCACGTCCCCGTCACCGACGCTGTTCTGTTCAGTTACAAGTGAGAGGGGTCTGGGGAGCGCTGGGAGGGTTTTGGGGGGGTCTGCAGTGATTTGGATGTGTCTGGGGGGGGACAGGAGGAATTTGGGGGGATCTGGGGCATTTTGGGGAATCCCTGGGAAGGATCTGAAGGGGCTCTGGGGGCATTTTGGGGCATCTGAGGCGTTTTGGGATAGTTTGGAGAAGCTTTGGAAGGTTGGGGGAATTTGGGGCTGGCTTGGAGGTTTTTCCCTTTCCATTATTTATCCTCATTAATTTTATTTTTTTTTTTTGTTCAGTTTTCCCTATTTTTGCCTCCTTCCCGATTCTGTGAGGGTTTCTTTGCTATTCTATTCCCTTCCTCATTTTGGGTGGGCTTTTGCCTTTCTTCCTCTTCTACCTCGCTTGGATTTGCCGTTTTTCGCTGGTTTTCCTCCCACTTTACCCAATTTCAGGTGATTTCCCCCCATTTCCTGCCCCTCAGGAAACACTTTGTGGCCCCTGACCTCTCCGAAGGCTTCTCCCAAATCCTCCGGATCCCCTTTGTGCCCCATTTTGGGGACCCCCCAGACCCCCAACGAAAGCGCCTCTTCTTCCAGTTCAGCGATGGATGAAGACCCCCACTGAACCCCCAAATAAAGGCACTGCCCCTCCCCATTTGAGTTTTTGGGATATTTTTGGCTCCAAATCACATTTATTGTACAAAGGTGGGGAGGGAAAGTGGGGAGGGGGTCACGGCGTTTCCATGGATTCACCCTCTGTGGAGAGAAGGGGGAAGGGGCTGGGTCAGTGTCCCCAAATCCTCACTCTGCCCCGTTTTTGCCCCAATCCCTTCATTTTTACCTGATTTCCATCCCATTTCCACTTATTTTTGTCCCAGTTCCTTCCTTTTACATAATTTTACCATTTTTTTGGTGTGATTTCCCCAATTTTCACCTAATTTTTCCCACTTTCATCCCTTTGCCTTCAAGTTTGGTTCCATTTTTTCCCTATTTCTCCCCTTTTTATCCAATTTTTGTTCAATTTCTCCCCTTATTTTTGTCAAAGTTTCCCCCTTTCTCCCATACTTTTTCATTTTGCACTGAATTCTCCTTGATTCTTGACCCATTCACACTCAACTTCTATTTGCCCTAATTCCATAACATCTCTCCCTTTCTCCCTGCTGTACCCCATTTTTTACCTCATTTCTCAAATTTTGCCTAATTTGGCACATATTTTCCTCTACTTCTTCCATCTTTGCCCCTTTTACCCTTGTTTTGCCAAATTCCATCAATATTTTACCATTTTTCCCTGCTATTTTTCCCAATTCTCTTTATTTTTCCTCCATTCCTTCTATTTCCCCATCGCCTAATTTTTGGCCGTTTATCCCCATTTTGCTGCCGTTTTTACACCTCCCTGCTCCCCCCAGGTTCTCCCGCGCCACGTCCCGAGTTACCCACCCTGGAGACCCCAGTGTCCCCCCCAGTGTCCCCCCCAGTGTCCCCAGGTGCTCACGGAGCTCGTTGAACAGAAAGGCCTCCTGGTACTCCCTCATGTACTGAGTGGAGCGCGACTCGTCCAGGAACAGCGAATACACGCGTTTGATGTCTTCCACCCCCACCTCCGCGCCCTGGCAGGGCACAAACGTCAGGAGACATCCCAAAGTTCTTCACCTTGATTTTCACACCCTCTTTCCCCATTTCCTGCCTTTTTCCCCCCTCAGTTTTCTGCAATTTTCCCCCCTCACGTTTCCCCACCATTTTCTCCCCTCACGTTTCCCCACCATTTTCCCCCCTCACGTTTCCCGCTCTTTTCTCCCCTCACGTTTCCTCTTTTCCCCCTCACTATTCCCGCTCTTTTCCCCCTCACATTTCCCACTCTTTTCCTCTCAACATTTTCTACTCTTTTCCCCTCCCATTTCCCACCCTTTTTCCCTCACATTTCCCACCCTTTTTCCCTCACATTTCCCACCCTTTTTCCTTCACGGTTCCGACTCTTTTCCTCTCATTTTCAACCCTTTTCCCTTCATGTTTCTCACTCTTTTCTCCTCTCACGATTCCCATTTCTCCTCATGATTCCCGCTCTTTTCTCCCCTCACGTTTCCTCTTTTCCCCCTCACTATTCCCACTCTTTTCCCCCTCACATTTCCCACCCTTTTTCCTTCACATTTCCCACCCTTTTTCCTTCACGGTTCCCACTCTTTTCCTCTCACATTTTCTACCCTTTTCCCTTCATGTTTCTCACTCTTTTCTCCTCTCACGATTCCCGTTTCTCCTCACCTTTTCCGCCTTTTTCCTCTCATGTTTCCCGCTCTTTTTTCCCCTCACGTTTCCCGCTCTTTTCTCCCCTCACGTTTCCCACCCTTTTCCCCCCCTCACATTTTCCTGCTCTTTTCTCCCCTCACGTTTCCCGCCCTTTTCCCAATGGTCACGTGTAACCCCAAACTATCACGAGCACCCCAAATCCACACTGGCCTCCCCCCAAACCTCCCCCAGAGCCCCCCGAAGCTCCCTCAGTGCCTCACAACATCACCCCCCCAGTTTGGGGTCCCACCCCACCTCCTGACTGCAGTTTTGGGGTCCCACCCCCCCGAATGTCGGGGTTCCTGTGGGATTTGGGGTGCCCACCTTGCGTTTCCTGGCCACCAGGCTGGCGGCGGTGATGAGCTGGATGGCGTAGCGCAGCGACGTCTCCAGCCCGATGCGGGTCAGCACCGCGTACGCGTCCTCCGTCATCTCCACGTCCTCCTCCTCACACCTGCACCCCAAAAACGGTCAGGGGGACCCCAAAACGGGCGAGGGGTCCCCAGAAATGGGCAGGGGGACACCTAAAAGGGGCCTGGTGGCACCGCAGTGGGGTCATGGGGTACCCAGGAGGGTGATGGGGGGTGCCTTAAGGGGTTGAAGCCACCCTGAGGAGGTTGGGGTGGCCCAGAGCAGTTTTGGGGTGTCTGGGGAGACCCTAAGCAAGTTAAGGTGCACCCCAAGGTTGATCAGGGCACCTGGAGAGAGTTATGGAGGCTTTTGGGGTGACAAGGATTTTGGAGATAACCTGCTTAGGGTTATAGGGCACCCCAGGTGTGTTGAGGGGGACCAGCCATGTTCGAGGCTCAGGGTATTTTGGGTGTCCAGATGGGTTTCGGGGTTCAGGTTGATTTTGAGAGGTGCCCAGGTGTGTTTGGGGTGTCAGAAATGATTTTTAGGAGTCCCCGCCACCATTTCAGGATCTGCTGGGTCTCCTTCTCCCCGCACAGGGCCGTGGTGGTGGTGGTTTTTGGGGTGTGTCAGGGTGCGATCTGGGCCGTGTCAAGGAGGATTTAGGGGTGCCCAGGTGTATTTTTGGGGTGTCCCACCGGATTTTGAGGATCTGCCGTGTCTCCTTGTCGCCGTACGGGGCCGTGGCGATGATCAGCAGCCGGTCCAGCAGATCCAGCGGGAGCCCGTGGGGGCTGCGGTGGGAAGTGCCTCGGATCCTGAGGGACAGGTGGAGATGAGGGGGGGGTCAGGGGAGGTTTGGGGGTGCCCAGGTGTTGCCCAGGTGTTGCTCAGGTACCTGGTGATGCCCCGGTTCGTGGCCATGATCAGCACGGGGGCCATGTCGCTCTCCAGGGCGCGGTTGAGGAACGAGAAGCTCTCAATGTCCAACATGTGAACCTCGTCGATGAACAGCACCTGGGGGGTATTGGAGGGGTCCTGGTGATCCCTGAGGGCGTTTTGGGGTGTCATGGGGTGCTCTCGGTGATCCCTGAGAGGCTTTGGGGTGTCATGGGGTGTTCTTGGCAATCCTTGAGGGGGTTTTGGGGGCCCCAAGGGCGTTTGGGGGAACCTGGTGCAGTTAATTTGTCACCTGGTTCCTCAAACAGATGAA